TTGTAGGAGATATAAGAGGTGTTGTCGGTGTAGTTGGTCTGAAAAATACATCGAGGCCTTCGCCAAGAGCAAGACCATCTACTGGCTGATCTGGTCTCAACATTGGTCTTGTAGGTGCTCTAGTCTTTGTTCTACGTGGTCTAGATTTTACTAAATGTTGCAATTGTTGTCCTACAGTATTAGGTAATTCAGAAACAGAATCTAATGATTCTGTTAAAGAATGTTCTGTTTCTGAAATAGCTGAAAAAATACATTGATATCAGAAATAAAAAATTTATTAATTACATGTTTTTTATGTAAAAAAGATACGAACTTTCTGCTTGACTTTTTGGTAAGGATGGTAATAAATCTGGAATGTCATCGGCCGAAAGTCCTTCTACAGAATCAACTACAGATTTCGGTCGTAATTTCCTTCCATGTAAACTTTTTCGTTTATTTGATAAATGTGGCGTAGCCTATGTAAAAAAAAAAAAACAATCATTAATATAATTTTACTACATACATTAGTTCTTTTAAATAATTGTAATACATTTATTTATTATCACATACAACAAAAAAAAATTTCGTAAAATTCAATCAATGAATAGAAAGTTTCCAAGAAATATGTATTTATTTTACTTACAAGATTTAAATAATCCAATTTCTAGACAGACATGGAAGTTTTATGTCATAGTTATTATAAGAAAGTTTGTTATAAATATAAGTCGAATTATATATATATATAAACAAATTATGTGTTTTTACCATTGGAGATTGATCACTGGAACATTGACCAATAGAATTCACAAGTGAATAAGTTTCTGGCGGACAGTCTTCTTCTGAAGTAATACTTGTTCTACCAATTGGTAATGCTGTAGACACACCTACAGTGCTTGTAACTCCTATAACACTTCCACTACTCATTGAACCAGCACTAGGCCGTAATACATCAGGTGTACTGCTTCTTGTTCTACTATCACAATCACCAATCTGAAAATATCAATATCAATGTTAATATCAAAATTAAAAGACTTTAATATTAATCTTTCAGTGTAATACCTTTTAGCATATATTTAACACATAGTGAAGTATATTATACATACTAAGTTTTTATAGCTTCTTGACAATGATTCAATTACTTCATCTGTTATTCTATCGGATACATGTGCAGCAACTGCCAAATTTAATTCACTATGAAAAAATAAAACACATTAGTAATTATTTAATACGTAATGTGTAGAAAATCAAAATGAATAAGTAATTATGATTCATACTTGACTCTATTTACTATATCTGCTCCAGCTTGTTCTGTGATAGTAGTATGTATGAATTCATTACTAATCTGATTCTTTTCCTTGCAACTATTTCGTAGATCATCTTCCACTGCAACTGATTCACTTTCATCACCTCTAATTACCGTTTGTGAAAGTATTGTGGGACATTGTTCATTTGCACACTTTATCATAGCATCTAAGGAATCCTGTATTTAAATTTTAATAATTAAAATTTATTATGTCTTGCGTGAGAATAATATACATATATTTAATAGAAAAATACCTGTAAATGTATAGTTACAACTTTATGCAGCTCGTTTGCCATTTCGTGTAATTTCAATTCTATTGGATTATTTTCGTCTCGTCGTTGAAGAACTTCATGTAATCTCGGTAAGAGCTAAAAAAATATCATTTGCGTAAAAATTTATTAAAAATTTATTTATTATTCAATATTTTATACCTGTTTTGAATTATCTGCATCCTGTATAAGTCCAGTTGCATAATTAATGTCATTATTAGCATCACAGCTTTCTGCAGCAATAGCTTTAATAGTGTCTTGAGTTTGTACAACCAATCTATCGACCATTTGTTGTGTAGAGCTTAGCAAAAATCCCTGTTGTAATCTAAATGCTTGTCCATGACTATATTTACATGGTGTAACATTTCTTTGTAACAAATCTTGAATTTTTTTAGCTAATTGTTCAGTTTTTTCAGCTGAAGTTTTCATACATGGTTGTAAATCATAAATTGGAAATGGCATGTGTCTTACACTACAATTCCTAAGAAGATATTATACATAAGCAAAAGATATCAACATTTTATTTTTAAAGTTAAAAATTACATACTTTTCTAAAGCATGAACAATATCAGCATAACCTTGAAGAGTGATATTATTTTTATCATAAATAATGGTCCGTAAATGATTATTAATTTGTAATGCCTTTGCTAATAATCTGGCACCAGGATCTCCAATTTGATTACCACTAATATCTAAAGTATGAAGACAAGTATTACTACCAAGGGCATTGATAAGATTATAAAGATCAGATTTCAATCGAGAATCTGGTAAATGTAATGCTTGCAAAACGCAATCATCTTCTTGAAGCATTTGCACAAGGGCATCCATTACCACAGCAATATGTTTGCTTTTCATACTAACAGTGTTCCGACCCATATATAATTGTTTGATCGATTTGTTTTTCCCTACAGCAGTTATCACTTGTGCTAAATCAACATCCATATCTGTGAAAAGATATATACAAGGTATGAAACTCAAATATTAATATAACTTTCAGTGCAATGTACTTACTGCTATCTGATATATCCAATGATGCTATACAACGTACACCATGAATGCATGATTCCAGTACATGAGCACCCATAGAGCCCAAATTGTTTCCACTCATATCAAGTTCTAGACCAACTGTACTTTCATTACATGCCAAACCAAGTAACAAGTGTTTCAATGCTTCTAGCGGCAATTTACAACAAGATATATTTAAGTACTTTAATGAAAGTGTAGCTGTAAAGAATTGTTTAAAACTGGGAGGTATTTCTTTGGTCTTTTTACTTGAAAAAGAGTTGCGAGCAACATTTAAATGGACTAGATTAGTTGCACAACCCCGTAGTAGAGCACCAAAGAGCTGAATAAGATAAATGCAGAATGAAGTTTATTTGTATTAGAACTTTATATATAGAAAATGAAAACACTTACACATTCTAGCGTTGTATCTGTACCACTTAGATCTAAATGAGTTAGACTATTAGGTTGTGCCAAAAAATTACATAAATTCTGCAAGTATATAATAATTATATTATTTACATTTTACTTATACCTAATATATCATTAACACAACTACTTGTTATATATATTAAATTTTACAATGATGTTTAAAAACTTACATTGATATCATCTTTTAAACAGTTTTCTGAAAGATTTAAATATTGCAAACTAGTTGGCATGCTTCTATTTAAACTTAATGCATGTGCAATTTGACTTATTCCTTTTCCAGTTAATCCACAATGTGCCAAATTTAATTTTTGTAAACCCTTAGGTAATTTTCCGATAGGTCCACTTAAATGTGCACCTCCTTAAAAATAATATTATTCTAAATAATGTTATTGATAAAAACAGATATACATGTACTAATTCAACACATTTAATAATAATACTATAAATTAATATTAATAAATGTACATATTAATTATAACGTAATATAGTAAGTTGAACAATTATATACTATTAATAACATTTTAATGATAATTTTATGAAGAATACTGAAATTATAAATGGAAGATTGCTTTTAAACATAAAAGGATAAGGAGAAACAAATATCATTAATCACCTTGTAACTTGGCTATTATTCCACATAAGCTAGAGGCTCCTACAAAAATATAAAAAAAAAATTGTATGGGAATGCTTCGAAAGTAAAAAAAAGAAGAATTGAAAATAAGAAAAATGAATCTACTAAGAAAAAATATTTAAAATAAAAGTCTTCATAGTTAATACTTGCCTTTATCTTCAATTGTATTATGTGACAGATCAATAGTTTGTAACATTGTATTAGCATTAGAAATTAGGGCTAATGATAATTTGTGTGCAAAATCCCTAAAAAGAAAAAAACACATTTAATCTAACATTTTATAATATCTTGTTAAAATTATTTTCACAATATTCATATATTTATTTATATATCTTTACCATTTGATTCCAAGATTATCTAGATAAAGTTCCTGAATGGAAAGAGATCTACGCATAACATGTAACAATCTTTCCAAAGGTTCATGACTTAGTTTAAGATGAGATGCCCTCAATTTTGTAAACCAAGTATTATATTCCAGGGCGGAAATGATTGGCACCAAATCTTTTTGATCTAAATGATCAAAATCTCTTAAATTTAACTCTCTTGTATCATGAGAAAGGTATATTGTATCAACATCCTATAAATATAATTTTTTTGAAAAACGTCCAACAATAATAGTAGTACATCTTTATATACTTTAACAAGTTACCCAAGCTACTTCTTCTCTATATGGTACACCGTGTAAATCACACATACATGCATATTGGGTTGAAAACCCCCCACAAGGTCCAGTATGTCTTGTTGCTTCTGTACTTCTAGCTAATTCACTACCTCTTATACTTTGCAGTCTACTACCTGGTATTACTTCTATTTTTCTTATAATATAGCTATAATAAAAATTATAATTTTAATATCAGTTATTTCAATGTTACGATTGTAATTGAAATAAATATAACAGAAAAAATAAATACAAGATTTAAAAAAATACATACTTTAATGGTACAGTGGGAAAGATATTTCGAATTGCAGTATGTAAGGCCTCAATCATTGCATCTACTTCCGTAGTATCTGCACCTGCTCCTGTGGTAGTAAAATTGTAATATCTTTCCCCAACACTTAAAGATAATTGATTCGCTCTTTTGGATTCTATAGATGTTATTTCTAAATAATGAAAATGGCAGTCGATCTGTAAGAAAATAATTAAAATATTACTGTTAACAGAATCACATAGCTTATTCATAAGAACAAAATTATCTATCGTCTTACTCTTGTGGGTACTTTGGCCGTTAAAAGAAACAAACGGCATGGTGAAAAAACCTTAAATGAAGACAATAAAAATTTAATTTTTCATTGGACTATTACACCGAACAATTTCAAATTTACTTTGTACCGCAATGTGTTAATACTAGAAATATCACTTACCAAAACACGATTTTCCTGTTTATCTTGTTTTGTTTCCAATTTTACAACATTTTTTAATAATATCTTTACATGCTTACCCAGTAACGCTTTCACCGATTCTACAAATAATGAATAATTTATGAAAAGTTACACTTTTAAGTTAAGACCAACTTGCAAAATATGCAAAATTAATAAGATTTAAAATTCTATTGCAATCCATTTTGCATACTTATGAAATAAAATAGATACTAAGAAAATTCTTAGAAAGATCCTTAGAGAATAACTTAATTTAACGAAAGACGTGTTCTTTTTTTTTAACATATGACAGTTCTACGATACGAACGTAAACATTCAATAAGAGACAAACCGTTTAAATCTTTCGTAAGCTGCGATCTAGTTGACATTTTGTTAGTTGGTTTATCTTTCGAACATCGATGAATCCATTCAAGACATTGTTGTTTCCGTCACACGGTGACCAAAGTTTTCTAACTTGCTTAAAAAATTGTTAAGATAAAGGGCGATGTCACGAAACTACGAAGCTGTATAGCCGCCATATTAGCACCTGCCCGCAATCCATTCTGCTCCATTCCGGTCCATTCTTACAAGTGTATTTTTTTTTAAATTATTTTTTTGATAATCATCCTTCATTTGGCATTTTTAAATACATCTAGTAGAGTAATACAATAAAACAACATTATCATTACTTTACCGTTATCACAAATTTTGTATGTACATAATTAATACATGTAAGTAATACTGAATTAATTGTTATTAATACATATCTTTAACACTAATTGCAAGTTAATTAATATTCAGTTACAAAATCTCACAAGACGATATATCAATAGTTCATAATAGAAAAATAAAGTAAATTCATTTACAATTGTACGTATATGTGTATATTATTTTATATAATTTCAGAATTGAATCCAAATTTGATTAAATATGCTTGCTGTAAGAACAATTTTGAATTTGTTTAGAACGCAAATTCCTCTATTCCGAACATATGCTATGAATTCAAAATTAGTCGAAATTACAAAAGATGATACAGGTAATACCATAATCCAAAATTTCATAAAGCGATTTTTATTTAATAATATTATTATCTGACAGATATTGCTACAATTTCAATGGCGTATCCACCTGTAAACAGTTTAAACAAAGAATTATTAACTGCTTTAAACATGTCCTTAATGGATATACAGAAAGAAAAATATCGAGGTATCATATTAACATCATCATTACCAAATGTATTTTCAGCAGGACTTGATATAAAAGAAATGTATAATCGAACTGAAAAACAACTAACTGAATACTGGCAAACATTGCAGGATACATGGTTAACTTTATACAATTTGGAGATACCAGTAGCTGCTGCAATCAATGTATTATTTTAAACATTATTAGTAAAATGATTAAGATAATGATAATGATATATATAATTATGTTTTTAAGAATATATGAATATTTGTAATCTCATTTATGAAGGGTGCCAGTCCTGCTGGAGGATGTTTGTTAGCAATGTCTTGCGAATACAGAGTTTTAGTTGAAGGAAAACATACTATAGGATTAAATGAAACACGATTAGGAATTATTGCTCCAGAATGGTTTAGAAGTCTTTATGTTGACATAATAGGATATAGGAGAGCTGAAATAGCACTGTTAAAGTAATTTATTGTTAATAAATATATAAACATATAGAACATTATATTCAGTAATATCTATGTTATAGATATTTAATAATATCTACTATTAATTGAAAACTATTGATTTAATAGAGGAACTCTGTTTCATCCAACAGAAGCATTGGAAATTGGACTTGTAGACGAATTAGCTTCTGATAAAGCAAATGCAATCAAAAAATGTAAAGATTATATTGAAAGTTTTAAACTCATACCGTGTAAGTACATTATTTATTTAATTAAAAGATAAGCACTTTTAATATTTACCATTTAAAATATTTATGAAGCCAAAGGTAGACAATCAACAAAAATGGAATTAAGAAAACGTAATTCATTATGGTTGAAAGTAAATAGAGCTGTGGATCTTAATCAATTTGTAACGTTTGCTCAGTTACCAGAGGTACAAGCTGGTCTAAAATTATATATTGAAACTTTAAAGAAAAAGTAAGAAACTTTAATTAAAGTGTTGCTTTTTTAAACCGTTATGTTAAACATTTAATATTTTTATACAAATTTTACAAATAAAATATTTTATATAAAAATGTGTAGATATATTAAAGGATATATATATTTGATAAATATATATTATTTAGTAAAAATATTTACTTCTATATTGATTTCCAAAAGTTTCCACTTGATTTATAATATAATTTTTGAATTGTTATTAACTGTATTATTAAGTTATTCATCAAGTGCTAATATAACTTCTGAATCATCAGTATTTAAATTTAATTGTTGTAATAGTTGTGAGAATTCTTGTTGTTGAGAATCCGCGAAGTGTGATATTTCTAGTATTTGCTGATTATTTCTTTCTTTCTCATATCTATTAAACCAAAATAAAAATTTGCTACAATTATTAAAAAAATATAAAAATACGTAAAGAAAGAAATAACTTACTTTATTAATTCTTCATTATATTCTTCAAGCCAATTTTTTATTCGATTTATCATAGTATCTTCTCTAGCATCTATTATCTGTAATGGAAAAATGCATGTCAGTTTTTAAAACGCAAATAATAGAAATGTATGTAAACGCATGTACTTACTTGCAAATGTCTTTCATGAGAATTATTAAGATTATAATTTAACATGTCTTTATCTTCACATAAATTTAATAAATGACGTGGTAACTTTACATCATCCCCAAAACCGCTAAGATAATATAAAATTAATCCATTAATAGTATCATTATATTCTGCTTCACAATTACGTAATTGTGAAAAATATCCTCGTGCAATTGTTAGAAAAGAATCCATCATATCAGACATGTTAATTCTAAATACTTCATTTATATCCTTTATCAAATAAGTTTGATATTATTTTCAATCTAATTTTTCTCTAGACTACTCATATTAATTAAAATATACCTCCATTTGTTCATGTAAGTCCACTTCAATAGACATCAATTTTGTCCATGCATCAGTTATTATATCATTAAATTCTTCAGATAACTGATGAGCTTCTTTAGTTATGTTTTCTAATCTAACAGTATCTACATTTCCAGTTAATTCTTTTATCAATTGCTTGATAGTTACCAAAATATCAGTTTTCTTATGCAAGACTTCATTTACAATCCTATAATTTGAAATAATACAAATTACTGTTGATGTATACTATACCTATACTTCATATTTGCACAAATATATTACTTACATTCTACCTCGATTTTCTGAAATACTTTTACCTTCATTTACAGCGATATCATAAAGATTTATTTCATTTATTCGTTTATCATGTTCTTCCAAACCTATTTCACAAAACTCTTTGCATAAAGCAGAAAAATTTATCTTGTATTCTTCAAATGCATTTTGTGTATCTTCATTTACCATAGACAAATCTCTTCCTTCTAAACATAAGATACACTTCATAAATTTTTATGTGTAAACGTTTATTCTTATATATAAATTCTTATTTGTAATGAAATTAAATAATTATATATGTAAATTAATAAACCTTTATCATCTTCAAACATTTGATGAAAGAGATAATCATCATCAAGATATTCTATATATGCAGCAGTAAGGAAAACTAATTTCTTTTCATATTCTTCTTGTGCATCCAGCTTTTCTTTTTCTTTCATTTCTATTTCTTCTAAAGTATTCAGAGTCCTACTAAATTATAAATATATATATTTTTTATACATGTGTGTACACACGCGCACACACACACACACACACACATCATATATATGTATTGTGTAATTACTAATGCTTTTCTTTTGCATCCTTTCTTTGTTCATTAGTTATCATTTTGTATTCATAATAAGTTAATTGAGGTATAAATGCAAATACATAATCCAAATATCCATCTTCTTTAGTGCATGGATTTTCACTCATATTCAAACTACGTAACTTTTTAAATTTTCTTAAATACAGTACCTAAATGATAATGCAAATAAATAAAGGCACAAAAATATAAAATATTTATATACAATGTTCCACATATTACATACATGTTTCGAATCTGTTACAATATTATTACCAATACTAAAAATTGTTAAATTACTTAAGTCATCTATGTTTTCTATTTCACTAATTTTATTGTTAAATAGAAGTAATATTTCTAATTTTGTTAAATTGTTCAAGTTCTCTATTGTTTTGATACGATTGAAGGAAAGATCTAATTCTTTCAAATTGACAAGGACATCTAGATTTTCTATCTTTTCAATTATGTTATTGGACAATTTCAATTGTATCAAATTTGACATCACCCACAGGTAATCAATTTTTAAAATATCTAAAAGAAGAAATAATACGATAAATAATATATAACAAGTCGAACAAGCAAATTTTAAATTTACATACAATTTACATACTAAGAAACTCAATTCGAATCTTTTTTGTTTCGTGCAAGTTAATACCGTCTTCATAAAAGAGTTTACCAGCCTCTCCTTTTGGTCCTTGTTCAATTACCAAGTTTATTAACATATCCTGATTTATTACACGAGGTTGTACAAATTCTTGTAATATAGTAGGAACGTCTTCCTGAATCATCTTCTTTTAAATATTTCGCAAATATTCTATAGAGAATCAAACATACAATTACATACCGCTTTATATTGAAAATATTTAATTTGTAATCTTCACTCGGTTGCCGCGCAACGCTGATTTATCAATTTCTGTTTTAACGCTCCTAGTGTTTGATAACGTAATTGCAGAGATATAAATATACATAAAAGGTATCTAGAAATTGTATACTCTATGCCAAGAGATTCCTAAACTAATTATCATTGATAACTGTAAAATTAAATTACGCTTTTCCTATCACAAGTTACGAACAAAGAAAAAGTTAGTAACGAATTCTATATGTACAAATCTCTTCGCCAATTTATTTAATTACTCTTTTCTTCCAAAGAAAAGTGTTGCTTCAAACAGAAGAAGTTTAGACAGATAGATATTAAAATTTCGATAAGCTTATTTTCGAAGAATACATGGAATATATAAATATATTTCATTTCTTTCACATTGGAAGAAATCGTTAATAAATTTCTAGTGTTGGAAATTTCGTTTATCAAGCGAAATAAATGAATTTACTGTGAATGTTGCGATCCAATCAGAATAGTAGTCGCAGAATATTGTATCTGATTGGTTAGAGTTTCATGTCACTTTATATTTGACGTCTGCCTTTATCGTCGTATGGTTCATATGATATTATCACTCTGTATAAGAAGTTTTTAATTTATTATCAAATATATTGTTCCTGTCAAAATTCGTTACGTGCCTTACATATGCACAAGTGAATCAAAGTGTTATTATTGAATATAGAAACAGTTTCGTATAACCTGAACAATGTCATTTTTTGGAGTAAATGTCAATCCGTTTTCAACACCAGTAGGCCAGAAGATAGGCAAGTTCTTTTATTTACCTTTTTGAAATACTTCGTATCAGTTATTTTATTGTAATATCAATAATTGATTAATTTTTTTTTCTTTTTTTGTGGACAAACATTTGTGCATTAATATTAATGAATAAGTAGATACTTGTAAATTTCTTTCCATGTATATATATGTCTTCAGCTTAATAAGACACATGATTCATAACTTATCTAACACCTTTTATTACAATTAATGTGTTACATCTTTATTTGTATATCTTTCAGAGCAAGCTACAGATGGTAGTTTGCCAAGTGAAAATTGGACACTTAACATGGAAATATGTGATATTATAAATGAAACAGAGGAAGGGCCGAGAGATGCAATTAAAGCAATTAAGCGTAGACTCAATCAGGCTGCTGGAAAAAATTACACTATAGTCATGTATACCTTAACTGTTAGTACTTGTATATTTGATAATATTTATATTTTTACAAGACAATGTTTTAAAATTATTTTTTATTTTTACAAGATAATGTTTTAAAATTATTTTATGCAATTAGGTGAAATATAAAATATTTATTTCTTAACTTTTTAAATTAATTTTTTAAAGTAATCTATTTCTTTGTTTAGTTGATTGAATTATACTTCAACTATAATTTAGATTAACTTTTTTTGTTGAGTTTATTCATTCCTATTACATATTTATGAGCATTATGTTAATGAAATGTTATATTATGTAATTATATTATGTTAATGAAATAGGTATTGGAAACATGTGTAAAAAATTGTGGAAAACGTTTTCATGCTCTTGCTTGTTCGCGAGAATTTGTACAAGAATTGGTTAAATTAATCGGACCAAAAAATGAACCTCCAACAGTAGTGCAAGAAAAAGTCTTAAGTTTAATTCAAACATGGGCAGATACATTCCGTCATCAGCCACATACTCAAGGGGTTGTTCAAGTATATCAAGAATTAAAACTAAAAGGTATACAATTTCCAATGACAGACTTAGATGCTATGGCACCCATTATTACACCAGAACGAGTAAGAATTTTTCATTATAATATATAATTAATAAATATTTTATAGATGTTTAATTAGATTATTAATATAATTGTAGAGTGTACCTGAGTCAGAACAAAATGTTGTGAACGTACCTACAGCTGAACAGCAGTCAGCAACTCCTATACCACCACAAGTCCAACAACCTCAAACTCAATGTTCTGGACAAGTAACTTTATTAAATGAACAACAAATGGCTAAACTACAAAGTGAACTTGATGTTGTACAAGGAAATATGCGTGTCTTATCGGAAATGTTAGCATATTTTACAAGTTCAGATCAGAGTAATAGTCAACAACCTGATCCTGCAGATCTTGAACTTCTAAGTGTATGGATATAATTATTTATCTATTTATCCTATATTTCATTATTTATCTTGTATTATAATAAATTATTATAATAATAATAATTTATTTTATGTATAAATTATAATATTTGTAGGAACTTCACTCTACATGCAAAGCAATGCAAGAGCGGGTTGTTGATTTAATTGGAAAACTGGCACATGATGAAATGACAGCAGAACTGCTACGTATTAATGATGAATTGAATAATTTATTTTTACGTTATTCACGTTATACAAAAAACAAAGCTGTTGCTGCAAGTACTATTTTGGCACAAACAATTGGTCATCCTGCAAACATAGATTCTGCTTCGGTTAATAAACAAGAAGCCGATTCTCTTATTGATTTGTCTGATGAAACTGATAATTTGGGGGAAAAAATGACAGAAATGGGTTGGTATTATAGTAAACAATGTATTTAAGTAAACAATGTATTATATTAAACCTTTTATATTAAATTGCAGGTATAACTGATAATATTGACAAAAATAGGATAGATCGAAAGGAGAAAAAGGAAGGTGATAATGATGAATTTGATATGTTTGCACAATCACGAAATACATCTTATGAAACTGCAAAAAACAGGTTTCTAATATTCAATTAATTATTATTATTATTATTTTATTATTAGATTAATAATATATGATAGTATATTATATATTAATAATGTATAATAATAATACATAAATTAATAATATGTGATATATATCCACCTATTTTTATTATAGTGGTAGCAAGTATGAGGATAATTTGGAGCAGGTGAGCGGAGGAAGTCTCAGTACAGCGATTCTTAATCGCAATAATCCTAAGCATTCCCAGCAGACTGCTTCTGCAATTGCTTCTACTACTGCTACTTCTGTGCGTAATCCCTGTTCTTATACTAATTTTTGCTAAGCATTTAGTAGATATCACGAATAATATAAGTACTAATTATTGAAAAGAGCAAGATTATTACTAAATTATTATTAAATATTAAAATACTTTTCACAAATTTAATTATATATTATCGCAAAACTATATTTTTGTAAACAACATAGTTACGATTATATACAATGAGCTTAAAGTTACATCCATAAAGGTAAGAATGTCATATTTACTACATTTTATAATGTTAAAACATTATATTTTCATTCATTAAGTAGATTTACTTAGAAGTTGCTTTCCTTTACTGCTTTCTATAGCATGAAGTAATTAATTTTATCTTATGTTCCCTTTTGCTTTATTTTTGCCTACATATATGCATATGTTTAGATACTTACTTTATTTTTGTTTGATATGTTTATTTTTATTTTTTGTTTTTTCTTTTAACATTCAGCTGAACCGGGAATCTGAGTTTAGTGAGATGGCAGCCTGGTTAGATCATACGGTGAGTTATACATGGCAATAAGATTAGAAATATCTAATATAATCATTTAACACATGATTACACTTTTCTTCAAAATATTTAATTCTCAATAAATTATTTTTTAATTATAATTCATAGTTATTAAAACATTCATTTTTTTTTCAGCCAGGAGCACATGGTGATCAAGAATCTTTAACATCTTCAGAATTCGAACGTTTCTTAGCAGAACGAGCAGCTGCTGCTGAAGCTTTACCAACTCTACCCACAACTACTGGGAATACTATTAGTACTGGAAGTACTACAAATTCTGAAAACTCTAACATTCAACGCCAAATTAATAAGGATCAAGATAAATCTTTATTTGCTCTTTAAACGTAATTTTCAGATTTACATTTTAGAAAACTGATGAAAATTGAATTTGTTCTAATTCGATCATCTTTCTAATAAATCAATGCTTCTAATAATAATCTGAATATTAGAAACATTGATAAAATCAATTAAAGAAAACAATATAAGAAGAAAAATAAATAAAAATGAAATGCTTTGCGCTTATATGTACTTAAGAATATAATTGATACTGAATGATCATAAATTAGCATTTTATTGCGTTGTAAAAATTTGATAATAATGAATAACTTATTTTAAAATAATCGTTACGCGTAAATATTATGTAATACAGAAATAGGAGAAAATATTAACTTATGTTATTTGTATATAAAAAGCACATTGTATCCAAAATAATATTCATATTACAATGTGTGGTCTCATGCCTTGGAACTATATAAAAATTATTAATTTATGCAATTGCAGTTTTGAATTTGCGAATTTAAATGCAAAAAATAAATATTTTATTATGCGATTGATTTTATTACGCTATAGATTGAAGTACTTGTCTATATTAAATTTGCGTCTTGATCATTTGATATTCTGTATGATATGTTCATTGTAGTAATTTTTTGATTCTCATAAAGTATTATTATTATAGAGTAATGTAAATTTATCAATAGTTGTTATGTATCGATATTACAGATAATTAATATATTCTAAAATTACATTATAGAAATATCATTGGTATTAAGGAACGTTATGTTTGTGATTTTAAATTGTTTTATTTTGAAGGCAAGCATATTAGGTACTTTGATAAGAATCGAGATTCTTTATAGAATTTTAAAAATGTGATAAATCACTATGTTTAAATATTTGATTTTGTAAAGTTGTATCCTTCTACCAATGAATATTTTATTTTAATATTAAATAGTAAAATATTTTTACTAAAAATGTATTACTTTTGACAGATAGTGCAAGTTGTATAGCACTAAACATTAATTCTTTTATTCTAGAATATATAAAATGCTTAAAAATATTTCAAATAGATGTTTAAACCAAGTAAAAGAAAAACTAAATTTGCTTATTTGTATAAATTGTATTTAATAGTTCTTATACGTAAATACTTATAATCAATTTCTATGTGAGTAATGACGTAAAAAATTGTTCTTTTATTGCAATTATTGCAATTATTATTGTTATGAAAAAGAATTAATTTTATATTTTCAATAATTTCTTTATACTTTTAAAATTATAATTTTTTCATTTTATAATAAACTTTTCTAATGTTCCAATATACTGATAATTGTATTGAAAAATTCTAATCCTTATAAAAATAATATAAAATTACAATATACAATACTTTAATGACAATTATGAAAAATATGTCATGCTATTATTTATTTATTAAGATCTTTTGTAACAATTATAAATTAGAATTTTATATTTATGTTACTATTACAATTAAACATTAGATAGTTTTATTTTTATCAATATCTGCATATTTTAAATTATTTTTATCAATATCTGCATATTTTAAATTATTTTGATATTTGCAAAGATCAAATATAACATAATATCAAAGAAAATTATATAATATAGGTTCTCTGTTTGGAATTCTATTTTTTAAATAAATTTCTGTTTTTGTTAATCAAAATTCTGCAATCACATGACCTGCTTTGTAATAAAGCAAATATTGATATCAAATACGTAACAAATAAATTTTCTTTGTGAGTATATCAGATACAATACATATAAATTGTTTCTTTCTATCATTCATGACTATTACATTCAAATTTTTTTTATATTGGTCCATCGGTTGAGTTAGGTTTCAGTTAGGTATGAGTAGGTTTATTCATGAATATACGTATATCAGTGCGGTACCACAAGCTAAGATCACGTGGTTCGCTCATCGTGTATTTCACGTTGATCATTTCAACCAGTGCGGTTGATCTAATCGGTACTAGTTTAAGTCACAGCGCACAATTTGCTTGATTGCATACTAAGATTTCAAGATTAATCTCGGATGATCTGGTATCACAAATATAGCTCGAAATCATTGTTGTGCTTTTTTCATAAAAAACATGTACACTGTATCAAAAGGACCTAGCAAGATAGTTGCTAAAACACGAAGAGGTACTGATATGAGAACAATTTTTAGTTGTATTTATAAACAATTGTAATATCAACTTTATTCAACATTATCATTCTTTAGGAATCAGTCAGAACCTTGAGAGGCTCGAAACTCTACGTGATTTAACGAGGAAAGCAGATCCTGACGATGATTACGAGACCACCCGGTAAATAATGCTTGTTCTCATCTTCCTTGCTTTTCTCTCTCTTTTTGTAACTTCAGTATTTCGATATTACGCAATTCATAATTCTCCATTGAAAGTAAGCACGTGTAATTCCTGTGTTATATTCCCAGTGACTTGTCAATTATAATTTATAAAGTATTACGTGCAATTATCATGTGTTTTAAAAATGTTAAATGATGTATTATGAATAGTGTTCTTAATTTTAATTTATATAGTAACAATATTTATTCCACAGCCATGTGCCTAAGCCAGTTTTTCACATGAATGGGAAATCTAAATTCAATTCGCAGAGGCATCAAATGCAAGAAGTTATTACACCTCAACATGAAGAACTTATTAAATTTGTCTATGAATGTAGGTTGAAGATTTATTACTTATTATGAAAGTTAAAAGTTTTTATTTCATAATGTACAAAAGAATATATTATATATTTTTTATTTATTAGCATGGAGTCAAGTCAGTACGCGGCAAAGAAGTGAATCCTCTGATGGTTCAGATTGTTCAGAACCTTCCAGTAAGTCTTTTAAAATTAATTAGGACAGACTATAAATTTTCTGCTTTTATTTAATGTTTTTAAATTAATAATACACATATATATATAAATTTATAAGTAACTAAATCCAACTAAAATTTAATTAAATATTTATAATTCAATTAAAATGTTTTGTTAATTTCAGGTCCTAGTTCTATAGTATATTATAATGATGGTGAACCAAATGACACTCTCCAAGGTGAGTTATATTATACTTACCTTTTTTTTTTAAAGAAATGTTATGTGGTGGATTAAATAAATATATTATTTCAGACTTTAAACCATTTGATTTGGAATCATGGTGGGGTAAACGATTATTTAATAATATCACAAAGTCACTTTGAAATAAAGAGAAATTTATAAAAGTTATGAAGATATATCTTGAAGTAGTACAGAATGACAAACAGTGCTAAAAGCCTGTTTTGGGTTTTAAAAGTAATCTAAGAACCAGTGAATAACTGTAGAATTAAATCTGAAGACTAGAAACAAACCTAAGAGCTATCACAAAGTTATAATTGATAAATTTAATATATAATGAACAATTAATAAATTTAATTGTGAACATGTATATTTCTGTTATAAAATATTAACTTTTTATTACATGTGCAGCTTTGAAGGTAAATTCATGTATCAAAAATTTTAAACACATGTATGTGACAACATTTTTTTAAATATTGTAATGGATTCTTGTTGGTAATGATATGTATGAGTGAAATATATATTATTATCAACAGTATCCTTGAATATGTGATATAATAATGCACATAAATTATACAATTCTGTTCGAAGCTGTTTCAAAATTAATTTAAAAGTGTACAGAGATTTTATTTAACTCAAAGTTGATAATGCAACCTTAAATCTACCGGTAAAAATTAATGTGATACAAAATACGATTGCTATTTTCATTTGTAGGTTTTTAAAATAACGCAGATAAAGATATAACTTGTATCTTGCGTGGTATGAATGCAGTGTGAAAATAATGAATTTTTAATCATAGAATGATGTACATATTACATGCATCGTTTGTGTGAATGCATGAATACATTGCCAATATTGTTATGACAATTGTATCTAAATACATTTATGTAAGCAAATTTTAGTATAACTTTGTAGACTGATAATGTTTAAGATTGTTATATGATTATTAGACGAGAGAAAACTTGTCACCAATGTATTTGCAAACTTTGCTTTCAAAGTTCTTATTTCATATTAATCTGAGTTAATCTCTAATTTTTTTGATTTTAACTTTAGTTACATTAAAAAAACATTATCAAAGATTTTAATATGAGATCTTGATACTTTTGAAAAGCAGAGTTTGTAAAAGTAGTCAAAATGTAGTGCAACATTTGGCCATTTAAGGCTGAATCAAGCAGTTATAAATAAATACATCTTTATATATATTATCACTTTTCTCTTAGTCTTATTACATGAACTTTGATTAAAGGCGTTTTAAATTTCATATCATTCATTTTTTTATATCATTTTATTTGAAAAATAAATTTATTATGTATTCTATTTGAAAAAAAATAATAGGTCTTAATGTAAAATATAAGTTATGTATAAGTTTTTAAATTGCTTACGTTGGTGCTTGAATGTATAAAAATTTATTGTCCTAATAAAATAAATAAAATTCTGTTTATTACTAAACTATGTAGGAACGAAAAGTAAAAAACAGAATAAATAAAATATGAATGATTGACTTTAATATCAAATTATATTGTAGTCTCGAATAATTTTTTTATTCAAATAGCTTAAACAGTTTCATATATTACAGGAGAAGAAAGTCTCGGAAAATTACAGAAAAACAGAATTATCATTGTGTATGTGTGTGTGTACGTATATATATGTATATATACATATGTATACATTGACCTATAGGACATTTGAGGGATTCCAGTTGTATCCATGAACGTTTTGGTTACCTATACAAGGGTTAAATAACCTTTAAAATTTATTAATATAATTTGTTTAAAACAAATTTTTTAAAATTATAAAGATAATATTTTTAACATAACATATCTATCATAAATATTTACATATGTGAGTAATATTTTTATGCAGAAGGATGTGTGAATCAAAGAAACAAGAATACTACTTTAATACAATAATAAATAAAAGTCTTATGGGAATGGCAAGAATACATAATAGTTTAATTGCATTGGAAGGATGTAATGCAATCTTACGTAAAGATTATACAAATATGATTGGAAAGGTATATAATTTGTTATGATGATTAAATAAAAATATTTTACTTGTAATTACATGATATTGTAATAACATATAGGTGAAATTAATATCTGGAGGTACAGCTGAAGATGAATTAATATATCCAGGATGTGTAGGTCCTGGCATGTTAACAGCTGCAGTTTTAGGAAATATTTTGTCTGCACCTTCAGTTGATAATATATTAAGGGTTATTGAAGAAATTGGAGCCAATAATACTTCAGGTAATAAAATATAATTTTATTTTATCATTATTAATAGTTATAAATCACATTAGTGAATTGTTGTGTGATAATGATTAAATAAAGTATTTATGTATAGGTATACTGGTAATTGTTCAAAATTGTGCAGAATATTCTATAAACTTTACTTTAGCAAAATTACATGCTGAATTGAAAGGATATACTATTAAACTACTGACAATAAATAACGATATGTCATACTTACGTCTTGGTAATAGTATTAAAGAACATAATTTTTTACCTACATTTTTTATATATAAAATAGCTGGAGCTATGGCAGAAGAAGGAAAAAATATAGATGAGATTTGTTCGTTTTGCAATTCTATTGCAAACAATGGAGAAATGGTATTTCTAAAACAAGGTTATACAATTTTTTAAAAATTGAATTATATATTAATATAAATATAAAGAAAAAATATATTTTGCAGATGGTTGTATTGAAAATGTAATTCACGAAGAACATGAAGAAATACTTTCAAATATAGTTAAACAAATGCTAGAACCATTGATAAATATATTAAATGCGACATCACAAGATCAAACTAAAACAAATATGCATAGAACAAAATCATTTTGTGTTGGTCATGAAATTGCAATTTTAATAAGCAACTTTGGTATCATAAAATGACTCAACGTTTAAAAATTTTATTTATCTTTGAAACTGTTGACTGTTACTTTGAAATATCTTTTATTTCTTAGGCTGTTGTCAAATACAAGAAAATATATTTATCTTAGAACTTTTGCATCAAATAGAAATAAATGGATTAAGAGTAAAAAGGATATACATGAAAGAATTTATGAAAAGTTCAAATAGTAGTGGATTTCACATTTGTTTATTAAATCTTTCGCTCACTGCAATATTAACTAAATATTTGGATTTTCCAACATCTGCATCCGCTTGGCCAATAACAATAGAAACTGAAAAAGTAATAAAATTCATAAAGTTATTTATTTCTTTGTTTTTCAAATTGTATTGTATTTTTAACTTGAAATCTAAATTAACTTCTAGAATGATGAAACAAAATTATTTATATTAAGAAAACATCATACGGTAATTAAATTTTATTAATTTATTTACTTGTATTATTAATGTATTTATACTTGAAATTACAGAAAATTCAATACAGTAAAATTTTAATACAGAATATAAACTGCAGTGCTTTAAATTTACAAGGACCAATAATGAATTATGAAACCAGTCAAGCATTTTTATCAATTATATCAATGGCATGTGAAGCAATATTAACATGTGAAAAACAATTGAATAAAATGGATCAAAAAAAATGTGGCAATGGAGATTATGGTACAAATCTTGCACATGGAGCTGAAGCGATAAAAAACGCTATTCAGGTTAGTTATTAAATATTTAAAAAACACAATGCATAATGTAATCATAAATGAAACTTTTTGCAGAAAAATGAAATATTGGGAACAAATTTATATGTAACATTTTCACAAATTAGTCATATTATTCATAAAACAGTGAGTGGTATACAAGGAGGATTATATTCTTTATTTTTTTACTATATTGCTCAGGTAAAATATAATGCATTATATTTAATTTTTCAACTACATGTGCAGTTGAACTTTTTAAACACATCACATGTTTTAGGCTTTTTCGAGATATCAAAGTGATCAGAAAATAACAGTAAATATATGGTTACATGTGTTAATTACTGCAAATAAAGCAATTGAACCGTTTAAAGTATTTTCTGAAGGTGATCAAACTCTATTAACAACTTTAACAGCAGTACAGATAAATTTACAAAATGCATTAAGCAAAAATATGGATCCCATTGATGCATTTGGAATGGCTGTGAAAGCTGCTGAAAGCTTTACTACAAATGTTTTATACAAACAATCTTTTTATGTAAGAAATATCGAATACTACACCTTATTATTATATAATTTTAATTTATATCGTCTATACGTCAAAATAAGAAGAAATTTATTACTGTATATATATTTTAGGAATTTGAGTATCCTGATCCTCATGCACATTCAGTAGGTATATGGATGAGAGCTGCATATGAAGGCACTAAATTAAAATTAATTTATTACAATACAGAATAATAAATTTATAATAAATACCTAATTTGTCATAATTCATGTTATGCAAAATGTACTGTATATATATATATTAATGATAAATATATATGTTTCATTTGTATTATTAGTTATATTAATGTTACATACATTAATACATAAAAAAATTGTTATTTAATAATGTTATATATTATTTATATTTTTATATATACATGTTTATATATAATTTACATTTAGCGATTCATTATGCTATGTAAATATATTTTTGTTTTTACTTATATGCACGAGGTCATTAAAGATATGAGTGTATGCGTGAATATGCTTCGTATGAACGAATGATATAAATGTACGTTCAGATACGTATAAAAGAGTATCATAATGTCACGTGTTCTTAGCTTCTCTTCATTTCTGTCTTATCACGTGAAAAAGCTGAAAAAAGTTAATTTCATTGTTTTCGAAACGTGAGCTAAAAATTGATAAATAATATACTCATATTGTATTTTTATACTGAATACATTTTATATCTGACATTATGTACAGAGGTTATGTTTAAAATTATAATTTCAATTTTTTAAATAATCAGATATTTAATTTTATTATTGTATGATATTTAATTATTTTACTTAAATATTACGAATATATTGCATTATTTATATATACATACATATTAATAATACATAATAATATGTATAATGATAAAAATGATAAAAATATAAAATTATATGCATAATAAATTTTATAACGCTCATATAAAAAAGAAAGCAATATTAAAAATGAATGCTGTAATTGCTTTATGTATTTTTTGTGAATCACATGGACCTAAAGTGATATTTACAACTCAGACATATCGTAATTATGATAATCAAAGTACAGAAAAATTGAAATTCTATGGACCAAAGGAAATATTACGAAGAAGTCAAAGTGTTATAGAAGATGGACAACATGAATGTGAAGGATGTCAAAGTATTGGTAATGTGAAATATTTAAGCAACGAACATGAAACTAGGACATCATTTCTTTCTGCACAGCAATCATTAACTCAAGATGTTTGGTGCTTATTGAAACATGCATGTTTTAGGTATAATGATTGTAAACTCTTTCTTTGTATTGTTTTATTCATTTCATTATGTATATTTTATTTATCTATTTCAATTCTTTAAGGAGTTTAAGCTGTGAAGTACATCCTGGTAAAGAAGGTGTTTGCTACTTTGGAGATGAATATAGGGGGCATGTTTTAAGTCATACATTTACGTTAAAAGATGCCCAGGTGAATTATGCAACGAAAAAGCATGTTTGGTAGCTATTACAATAAATTATTCAAATCATGTCATTAATTATATAATTTTAAATCTCTAGAAAGGAATTTAAAAAAGTATTCAATACTGAGAAATCTTTTTTTTTTCTTTTTACAGGCAAGAGGTTTTCGTAAATGGTGCAGTTTTATTGTTTTCATGAGAGATAAACAGTTTTTATTAAATATGTGGCCCTTTTTAGTAGATAATTTAAAAGAAATAATTCGAGAATTACAAGATTTTGCTGAAAAAAAATATAATGCAGAAGAAGCAGAATGTCCACAGAGAATTGTTCGTTTATCAACAGCCAATGGATCAGGAGCATATAATAATTCAAATAAGCAGCCTAGAACTTTTAGTGATATAACTAACGAGAAGCATGTTTTTATAAGGTCTGTTTTATAATTATGACATAGCTTATAAAATAAAATATTAATAAATTATAATTGTCAGAATCCACATGTGGTTGGTATGGATTCTTAGTGCTGGAGCAAGACATTTCATAGAAATTTTTCCCATGAGCTTATTAGATGATGAATTAAATTATAATTTGGAGGATCAAATTGGTTAGTATCATAAAAAAAAATACTATATTTATAAGGAATATTTATCTTTAAATATATCATATTAAATAGCATTTTCTGTGGTTTAGAAAATGAAGATGGATTTACTTTAGTAAATGCCAAATTACCTGTAAATTTAACTTTGAACTCAACTGAACCAGACACGACACTCGAATTCTCAGAAGTCTCAGGAAAATCTACTACAGTGATACTTAAAGATTTAAGAGCTGTATTAGGAAAAGATCAATTTAGGCAACTTTTATATTCTAGTTTAACAGGTGTTCAAATTTTGGTAAGAGGTCCAAATATTCAAAGATTGGAATCTTTATATGGTCTTAGTTCACTTATTCCACGTGCATGTAGAAGAGTTAAGACTCAAGCAACAGAATATATGGATCCTAACAAGTGTAACTTTATTGGTATTTATGTTATTGTTATAAAACTATGTTATTGTTATAAAACTATATTAAATTAAATACTTTACAAATAATCAGATTAATTTCAGGTGTTGACACATCAGTAGCTGTTCCTCTGCCTTGTGCAAATGTATGTAGATTAGATATTGTTGCCGATGAACACAAAGTTGAAAATTCAAATTCACATATTGTTAGATGGACAGGAACATTGCCATTAAAGTTGCCAACTTTATTAATAAAAATTGAAAAGTCACTTGAGAATGAAAAACTTGGAAACTCTACCTTGAAAGCACATTTTGCTGCATTACAAGAAGAATGGGCAAAGTATAATTATATTGTGTATTTCGTATTAATATTTAACTATTATAAATTAAAACCATTTTTACTGTAATTATAGCATTGCCAAAGTAGTTCATGCTATGCGAGGACGTGGTCATAGTGGAGACCTTTCTGGGCTTATGCTTAGTTTAGGTGCTGGACCTCATGATAAAGAATTATTAGATACTTGGTCAATGGGTTTGCCACCAAACCCAGCGTAATTATTTAATTAATTTGTCATATTTTATACGTTGTAGAATATTGGGTAATATTTAATTTAATATATAAGATGTATTTTCTTTTATTTGTTCATGCAATATTTATATACTGAGGTTGTGCATAATTTTTTATTTATAACATAGTTAGCACATGACAAATATTGATATCAGCATAAAATAAATTGTTTTACATACATCACACTACATCATTAGTAATTAAGATTTAATATCCATTTTTGTAAAATTATATTTACAAGAAATTTTTTTGACAACATACACACACACACAGACATTTTATATATTATAAATATATATATCTATGAATCATAATTTCTCATCTTTATAAGTAGTGGTCTTTTATCTTACATAACTATAGCATACTTCTAATCAAACGCAATTTATTTTATAGGTTATCTCGATTTTAATTTTTTCACATTTCAATTTAAACATTTAAAAAGCATCTCGAAAATGTATATAACTTCAATATTTTGCGAAATGTTATTCGTGGGTTTGTCATAAAAATATTAAAAATCGATGACTTTAAAAAAAAATTAGATTAATTGCTAATTGTTTAAATAATTCTTAATTGAGTCTTTAATTGTATTTTAATTGTTACTGTGATTATTTAATTTTAATGAATATAACAATATATTAAATTCATTGAAATTAGCGTATTGTAAATATTTAACAAAAAGTGTTCTCTGAAATGGAAATTCAACCCCAACTGACGTATCATCGCAAGTCATTTCAATTCAAAGATTTTAAAAAATTTGATATTTCTGAACAACGTTTTGAAGAACAATATTGTAGCATCTATAAAGCAAGATTGAGAGTACTGAAAGATTACCTTTTGGAGAAAGCAAAAATTAAATGGGGTAAATTTTGTTAGAAGGATATTATTAAATCTTAGGTTATATCTTTTAATATCTAATATTTTGTTATAGCACGTAATGAAGTAATTACGCTGGCAGAACTTTCTGAAAGAAATGAAAGCGATACTTGTGTTATAATAGGCACTTTATACAAACATCAAGAATTAAAACCATCGATATTACAAGAACTCAGTAACGAACTTCAGTTACAAATCCAACCAGCTAGAATAAATTATGCATCGTTCAAGAATATATTATATTTGGAAGATGAAACATTACGTATTAAATTAATTGGAAATTATATAAATATTCAAGATGTAGTTAATGGCATTGTTTGTGCTGTATGTGGACATGAATCGGAGAATGGTGAATTTTTAGTAAATATTATCCTCTTTTATATAATTTATGAAAATAACTAAAATTATAAAAAATTCATAATGTCATTAAAGTAAAAATTGTAATTTAGATTTAATTTAATATGTTTTGTCTTTCATTTTTTGATAAAATATATCGATTCCAGGTAATAGATTGGTGTTTACCAGGATGCTGTCCAAAATTATCAATTCTTGATCAGCCGCTAGAAATACAAAGAAAGATTTTAATAATCTCAGGTTTAGATTTAGCAAATAATTTACAATTATTAAATATAAATCTATTATTTGAATGGATTACTGGAATGGTTGGTTGTGAAGAGGTTCATAAAGATGTGGCATCTATTGTGTGTGTTATTATAGCAGGTATTTAATGTATATTAATCATAGTAATATTTACAATGAATAACAATCATATCAACATAGGAAATAGTATAAGAGGATCTGTGGAGACACATAATTATAAAAAATATTTTGAAACAAAAGCTCATGATGAAGCTATATTTAAAGAGACTGCAAACATAACACATAAATTGGATAATTTGCTTTATCCTATTGTAAAATGTTGTCCAGTAATATTGATGCCTGGAGAATTTGATCCAACTTCTCATACATTACCTCAACAACCACTTCATCCATGTATTTTACCACAATGTTCTAGGTAATTTAAAACATATATTTATGACAAAATATCAATATTATTAATATTCATATATTATATAGGTTTAAAAGTTTTCATGGAGTTACTAATCCATGGATTGGTAGTATAAATTCTCGTATTGTAGCAGGATCCAGTGGTCAAACCATTAGAGATATCATGAAAGTTGCTGGACTTGTAGATATTTCACCTTTAATCTGGTTAGAGCGTACATTACTTTGGCGACATTATGCACCAACTGCACCAGATACTATACCAACTTGTTCATCTAACAACATTGATCCATTTATTATAACAGATTGTCCTGATATATATTTTGTTGGTAATATGGATAAATATGATACCAAATTATTCACAGGTAAGTATGTTCTTTATTATTTCTTATTTCTACATTTATAGTGAGGAAATGATATTGGTAAAATAAAGTATTTATCCACAGCAGATGAAGGACAAACAATAAGATTGATTTGTATCCCAAAATTTTCTAAGACACAAACAGGTGTATTAGTTGATTTAGAGACTTTAGAAACCTGTCCTATTTCTTTCACTGCAAATTAATTTATTAAAATATTTAAATTATTTTAAGACTGTGACATTAGATAATGTATAACAACAAGTTCATCTAAGAAAATAATTAATTTTCTTAAGTAATTTTTACATAATTTGTATATAACAAATATTGTTCTTCTAAATATATTTATTTGTATGTTTTTTTTAATATTTTTATATAGTTTTTACTTATGGAAGTAAAAAGAAAAAAACATGAAAATAAGTACATAAGTAAAATATATCTTTATTTACTTTTTTCATTTACATAAATATATGAAAAATAAAATATTGTTTAACAAATTATAATATATATTCTATAAATTGTTTATATTTGTTAACATTTATAGTGTTCTTAGATGTTCATACATACATAGTATAAGCATTCTTAATTATTATATTAACAATATTTAATTCAATATGTGGAACAATATACCATGCAATTTAAATTATAAAACAATATAAATAAAATACTTTAGTATAATAATACTAATTTTTTAAATATTATAATGTATATTACATATAATAAGTATTATAATACTGCTTCGTTTTATGAAAATATTTGGCACTATATCTTTAATAATACTAAAACTGCTAAAAAATATAAACAGAATTAAATATATGTATTAAATTGGAATTAGATGTGAATTTATTAATTCTTCGATCTATTTTAAATTATATCAATATATTTAATGAGATATATAAAAATAGACTGCGAATGAAAAAATTTAATAAAGTAAAACTGAACAATTCTTTGATATTACCGTAATGTAAAATATTTTTTATTAATTCTGACACCTGCAGTTTTTTTTTAAATTGTTTCTTTATATCTGTATTGATTATTTCAATAAATGTTCATATTCTCCTAACTACAAGATTTTGAAGGTATTGGAATATTCATATTTAGACAAATATTTATGCTCTTAGATGATTCTTGAGATTCAGAAACTTCTGATTGTGAATCTGCTTTCTCTTCATTTCTCATAGCACATATCACATCTGTGAGAGCAACTATATAATTTTTTGCCAGAGTTAAAGTTTCAATTTTGGACAATCGTCTTTTCTTTGATACATGTGGAATTACCTCACGTAAAGACTACAAAATACAATCATTTATATTTTTCTATAGACAATTTTTGCTATAAATTACATCTACCTGAAAAGCATCATTCAAACTATGCATTCTCATTCTTTCTCTTTCATTACTTTCTAGTCTTCTAAGAGTTCTTTCTCTAGGTGTTGTCCGCTTAGATGAATTTGATAACTTTAATCCAGATTTTTCAGTTCGTTTACTGTTTCTGCGTATTGTTTTATTACACGCCTGTGATTGTTGTTTAGGCCATTTTCCCTCCCAATTATTTCCGTTCATTATCTTGGATGTCATTCAGAATTGTCCTTTTTAAAAATATTATATATTATTTATAATACAAAATCTCATCTCAATTATTTTTTGTTTTTTTCTTTTAATGTTAAATGATTTAAATAATTAATAAAGTTCCAGGGTCAATGATATAAATAAATAAATGTTCTTAATTAAAAAGAAAGAAATAATATTTTTGATATGCAAATTAAATCGAAAATTTTAGTATTCAAGAATATATGTAATAATATTTAATAATATATAATAATATAATAATATGATTAAATAATATTTATATACTTACAATTTAGTAAGATAGTTTGTTTCACTATTAACAGATCAATGAAGAAATAAAATATAAGGATAATAAATATATTTAAATTTGTTAATATTTTTGAAACACGAGTTTCTCGTTCCCTTTTTTAAATATATTTATAAGCGAAATAAAATTATGATTATATTATATTATACTATATTATATTATATTATATTATATTATATTATAT